TATTACTCCCTTCCATTCTTCATCGTATAGCTATTTTCCGCTTGATTCCATTGTACCTTCAAGTTAAAATAGTAATCATGAATATCAAAAGTATACAAAGATACCAAAACGGGTTGAAATATGCATGAATGGATTAAAACAAACATAAGAGTCGATAAATAGCATGAAACCTAGCCTAGGAATGGCAACGGGACGGGTATGGGACGTGTCAACCATTCTCACCCCCGTCCCGTCGGGTATTTTTGTTATCTTACCCCACCCCTATATCCGGTTAAAGCGGGACGGGACGGGTTCGGGTTCGGGGTCGGGGTCGGGCGGGTCCCATGCCCCATTTATCGCCCCATTTATTTTTCTTTACATTATTTATTTATTTTATTTTTTGCTTTTATTTTTTTATGTCTTTAGCTAGTAAATATTATTACCTTTTTACCAATTTGTTAAAAATAACTTATATTCCTTTTAAAAATGATGATAAATCTATTATTTTTGTTTGATAAAAAACTTAAATTTGAAATTAACTTTAAACGGGGTAGGTAGCGGGGCGGGGATTATGTTTGCCGTACCCGTCCCATACCCGTTTCGGGGCAATGACCCTCGTATCGTTCCCGTCCCGATTATCCGGTTAGGCGGCTAATTCCCGTCCCATTCGAGGTGGGGCCTACGGGTATTGGGTTGAACGAGTTTTTTTGCCATCCTTAACCTAGCCCCTGTTTGACATCTATTCTCTTTCTCCTTTTTCATTTCAACCATACATTCTTTCAATAAAATAGTATTACACATAAATCTAAAAATTCTCTTTACTTTTTAACTACATATTCTTCCATCAATCACTATTCCAAAATCTATTCTTTATCCAAAATGGGTGACAAACACAAGTCTATAATGTTGTGTGTATAGTAATCAATTTTTTATGCCCTCGGAGCATAGAAAAATGTGCCCACTACTTCTTTTACTAATTTTGACTCAAATAAATTCATTCATTTTTTTATAGGCCTAATGTTGACATGATGACCATTCTATGATAAAATTAAAGCAAATAGCCAAAATTTAATGCAACATATCAACTACATGCAATGCAAATACTAAAAGAATATCAATCACACATTTAATCATCTTTTATCAAAATTTACTAAAAAATTGATTTTAATCCCACCAAATAGCATCATTGTTTAATTCAATGTTATTGTGCATTAATACATCGATGAATATTCTGATCCTTGATAAAGATGGAGTAGGATCACATGTGATGACATGTTTAATTTTACTTGAGAGTGATTCTTGAATAACATAGGAACGTTGATTGTCATGATTAAATAAGTATTGATACTATTTCGAATTGTTTTTACAATCGATTAATGAAGGGGATTCAAAATCCTAATACGTCTCATGAATCAATTTTACTATCGCTTCTTAATTGCCCATTAGTTTAGTAATTAGATAATTAATTACAAAATCCATCAATCACATTTTGCTATTCGATTAGAGAAGTATTAACTAAAACCTGATTAAGTACTTGGTTCTCACTCTAAATCATATCCACCAAAACCTTAAAAATCCCCAATCATACCAATTAAAACCACAAATTCAATGTCCACAACGACTCTACCGGCACTACCCGGCACACTATTGCACACGACCAAATGAAACAATGCTTCACAGTAGCAGAACCACACTGGTTCATCGTGTGCAGAACCGCCAAAGCACCATCATTGTAGCCGCTGCAACATCCACCCCTTCTTTCTCTATCGCATGGAAGACTATAGTCGAAGACAACTTCAAGAGGCCATCATGCAGATCAATTCTTCTTCTTTTTCTAAATTTTGAGAGATACTGTGATTGACAGTTCTGTTGTAGTACTGTGATGTGGTGGTGTGTTGGTTTTGTGATTGTGGTGGTTGTATTGTTGTGTGTGGTGGGTGTTGTGGTGGTATGTTGCTGTGTGCTGTGGGCAGGGGCAGATCCAGCATTTTCGTTCAGCTAGGGTGGACCGTTGATCGTTAACCGATGACCGTTGACTGATCAACGATTGTAATAGCCGAAAATAAAATTCAATACATAAGTAAATGCACTAAAACGTAAAAAAGTATATACATATAAAAATATAATTCAATACAACTCAAAATACTTATAAAAAAAAAAAACCCTACTCTGTAACAGTAAACTTAGACAACCGCATTTTACAGGGTCTCATATTTTGTAAACGTTGCAATATTGCATCATTCTCAATTTGTATAAAAATATCTTTTTTTTCACGTAAACCGTCAAATTGTCATTCAGCCAGTTATCTCCCNATCGGTTTTGAACATGTATCATTTCTAACATAACTCCGTATCATTTTCTATACTGTACTCCAACCAATGAAATTCAGAGTACCACTCTATCCGAAAACACCTATTATCATTCCCTATCCGTTTTCTTGGAAAGTCGTGTCCATATGGTTGACAATGACCTTTCTCTAAGTATGTCATCCTAACATCATCTCTTATATTAGGATCGTATGATTCGATAAGGGGCGTTTCCCTGGATCAGATACAAGATCATTGACATTGAATTGAGGCCGGGGACTTCTTTGTGTTATTTATTAACTCTTGTGCTTGACTAGAATCAGTAGCGGGATTAGATGCACAACTAGAGAAAGAAGAACTAGGTATGGACTTTCGTATCGGTTGAAAAAATCGCTCCATAATATGCAAAATGCCCCAATTTATTTTTCAATTACAATTGATTAAAAAACAGTGTACACATGATTTAATTGAGTTAGACACCTTCTCCATTAATTTTTTTCACTTATACCTAAAAAAAAACAAAAACCTAAAATCACAGTCACAGTTTCACAGATAATTCATAGCTAGTAGCCAAGCCAACTAAGAACTAGTAGTCTCTAGCAAGTAGCAAATACCTTTTTCTCCCAGGCCAAGCACTCGAGTCCAGCAGCACTGCTTCTCCGTTCCAACTCCAAGTCCAGGCTCCAGTCCCCATCCATTGCTCCACACCACAGATCACAACACAGTACACCGCCCCACACGAATCTCCACCTCCACAGTCCTGAGACTAAAGACCAGCAGAGCTGCAGAAGTCACGAAGCTCGCCTTCCCAGTTCCCAGTTCACTAGAATCGCCTGATTTACCTTTCCCTCCTCCAGGCGATTTTGTTGTGGCTTGTGGGTATTGGGTTAATGGTAAAGGAAATTGGAATTTAATGGGCAAGATGTTTGGGCTCATAATTGGGCCTTATTTTTTAAAATAAAGGCCCAAACAATTACAAACAACAAGGAAGGGAAAAGAAAAAAAAATTCAGGTGTGCAGGCCGTAGCTCTTCTTCTTCTTCTTCACCTTCCCAGCGGTTGAACTGCGAGGCAGGGATTCCGGCGGATCCAACACGGGCGGCCGCGGGGGTCGCAAGGTGCTGGATCCGTCCCTGGCTATAGGTACGGTGGTGTTGAGGCGTGGTGGTGGCTCTAGCAGTGGTGTTGTGGTTTCTGAGGTGGTGATGTGTTTGTTGTGGGTGTGTATGGTGGTGTTGTGCTTGTTGCAGCGATGGTCGTGGCCATAATGTGGTTGTTGTGGTGGGCAAAGAGGTTATGTGGTGGTGTTGTGTTTGTTGTGTTGGCAGTCTGGTGTGGCGGTGGTAGAGGTAGTTGTGGGTGGGATAGGGGTGTTTGTGACCAAGTTTTTGATTGATTGTGACCAATTATTTGCTTGATTTTGATAAATAAATAAAATGTGACCTAACAAATGTGATTATGACCGAAGAAATAACTCGTGACTAATTAATTTGATAATTTGTGATTGTTAAACAAGTTTTGACTTATTGATTTGTGATCGATAAATAAATTGTAACTTATAAAATTTTTGATTTGTTACCGTGAAATAATTGTGACCTATAAATTTTTTATTTGTGATCGAAAAATAATTTTTAACCAATTAATTCAATAATTTGTGACCAAATTGTATAGAATTGTGACTTTAATATATTTAATTAATAAAAAATATTTATTAATTGATTATTTCATAAATAAAGTTTATTAATATTTGATTTTTGAAATTTTAAAACTTGTTTCTTAATTTTGAAATGGGTTATAGTTGACCTCTAAAAAAATGGTTATCAACTCTCTTTACACTTGGAAAGCATATTAAAAGATGCAAAATATAGTCTCCTGTTGGTTTTAATTTTTTAAATTCATTTTTTTCAAAACTTATTTTCAAAAACTTATTTTATGATATTCACAATTTTAACAACTCTTTAATAATATATTTTATGAATTTTTATCGAAATTACTAGCATGGCCTCCCTTTTAGGTGTGTGTTCTCTCTGTGAGAGAGAGAGAGAGAGAGAGAGAGATTCGTATGTTTATATGAGCCATATGTTTATATAAGCTAATACCCTTGTTTTTGTTCATCTTCGATTGCAAGAACGGACAACTTTCTCTTTCACTCAGCAAAGAGAGAGAAAAGGAGGGAAAGAAAAAGCTATATAGAGAGAGACAGAAACAAGAGCCTCAAAATCAATAAACAGATATAGATATAGCAAGAGAAAGAGAAAGAGAAAGAAAGAAAAAACAGAAGAATTAAACAGTTTTTTCTATGCAAATCCCACTGAAGAAGAAAACGATGTATGTGTGCTTTGCACGATTTCCTGACCTGCAACTGTAATAGGTATGTGATCCATACGTGAATTAATAAAGCTAAAATAAAGACTTACACTCTGATGCTTTCACTTTTTATTCGTGTCATGTTTCACTTCAATATTCATATAATTTATATGGCATATGATTCTTTTTCAATGAACAACCTGAAATTCCCCGTTGGGTTTTCAATTTCTTGCATTTTCTTGATGGATCCTTTGATAAATTGATGAGCAGATGAAGACCGTGTTGGTGAAGAGATGAAGAAGAAGACAATAATATGGGTTTAGCAAAAGGACTAATCCCTTATGTTAAATCTCATTTTACGGGTCAGAGTTCAATTCAATTCTTGGAAAAGGTCAGATTTTCAAATTCTATGTCTCAAAATTATCAACAAGGTGTTTTCAGTTTCTCGAATGGATTTGAGAGATCACAGAAAGAACAGCAGATCCGACTGGATAACGTGACGGTATGTTTGACATCGAGTAATAGACTTTACTGTATAATAAACTGGACAAACTTGAACACAATTTCTGTCTTAATCCTATTCAGAACAGCCCAATTCAGCATACCAAACATGCTCTGAGAGCTCAAGGTTTGGAGGCCGATCCGCCATTGTTAGGTATCCAAGAAGAAGAATCCGGTGGCCTTCCAGGTTATGAAACGGCGGGGATGTTGTCCGAGATGTTCAATTTTTCTTCTGCCACCGAATTATTGGAGAACCAGATATCACAAAATTATCGAAATCCGAGGCAAAGGTTGCCCGTCCCATGGTATCAGAGCAAACAAGGTTTGGACGTGAGTGGTTTGAGGGATTCAAAAAATCAGACTGTAGGCAATGAAGATCACCATATTTCAAATATTAATGTTGACTCAGCTGCAGCCATGCAGCTTTTATTCATGAATCCACAGCAAAGGTCCTCTTCACCGTCTTCTTCTCATCACCACCCTCCTCAACCTTCATCCGCCGCCACTCTCCACCAATCGTCGACTTTCGAAGCCTTTCACCACCCTGTGGGCGTAACCACCACGGCGGAAGCGACTTTTGCTGCTGCATATGAAACCAACCCTATTGAAATGCCAGGTGCAGTGGAAGGACAGGGCCTTTCTTTATCCTTATCTTCTTCACTACAGGCGGCCAAAGGTGAGAATTTGAGGGCGGGAGAAGGTGGGATGTTGTTCTTTGGTCAAGGAGTAGGAGGAGGGTCAACTTCTGTTCAATACAATTTCAAGAATTTTGGAGGCCGGGCGTTGCAACTGCAAGGCGGAGTTGGTCGAAACCATCAGTTACAGGGTGGGTTGGGATCGCCCATTGCGGCAGTGAATCTGCTAAGAAATTCCTTGTATGCTAAGGCGGCTCAAGAATTGCTCGAAGAGTTTTGTAGTGTTGGTAGGGGTCAGTTCAAGAAAAATAAATTCTCCAAGAATACCAATCCCGCCGCTTCTGGAGGTGGAAATTCTTTATCTTCTTTAAAGGATCAACCACCTTTGTCAGCTGCTGATAGGCTCGAGCATCAAAGAAGGAAGGTCAAACTATTATCTATGCTTGATGAGGTATCATTTATGGAAAATTATAATTTGTCACATTATCATTGATTAATTTCTAGTTTATTAACAAGTGTCACACCTTTTATGAATTTAGTTTATATCCAAGACAATCGTGTTACAAAAACATAATTTTCAACATAATGTCACATGGCAACGTATCATTGAATTATTTAAAACACAGTCAATTTTTTCATCGATTCACATCATTCCAACACATATTATGTCATTCTCCATGTCATACATTTTTTGGCACATAAGAATTATTCATATCCAAGAAGCACGATGAAATGACATTTAAATAAATGTTATTTTTAATAAAATTTCGGTCGGAATGATTCAGGGTCCCTTGGTACAATTATTGTTGTTTATTAAGTCCATTGTTCACAATATTAAAGAAAATTCCGACAAGTTTCCACAGATTATTTTATGTTGGAAAATTACTAAGCACGCCGACTAATCTAAATTATATTTGTTTAGTTATATGATTAAGAAGAAATTTTATACTTACACCTAAAGAAGTTTTAATTATAGGATTCTAAGGGGCAGCTAGTTATTTTTTATTTATTTATTTTATTTTATTTTTTCAACTGGTGGAGACATGAGAAACTAAACGACCAACATTGTGGGAATCATGTTGGTAGAAAAATGTTTCCATCTGATTAGTTGGTCATATATAAGAGCAATGCTACATATAAAGGGAAAATGCATAGATGGATTTACAGAATGTCACGTGACAACATTTCATTGAATTTTGGACGAAATACATAGTTAAAACAGTAATTGGGTATTACAATCTTAGTACCTGTAAAACTGCATGTCTATTTTTTGGGCTGATTTACAGTGGGAGCAGTGCGGTCACCTATCCCACAGTAAATCTGAAAATTTAATATTTTGCCTAAATGTTCTTCAAGATTTTGCTCCCACAATTAAAATTTGGTGTGATGTGCCCCCACAAATCTTATCTTCTAGCTCCGTCCCTTCGTAAGTATCATTTCTGCATATATAAACATGTTTTGAGAAATAGGTAATAAAAAAATGCTTTTAAGCTTATATGTTATCAAAAAAGGTGCTTATGATTTTTATTACACTATGATAATAGTTTGCTTGAGATATCAATTGCTTCTTGTTGAACTATGTGAATTAGTAGGATCTAATGTTTGCATTGGGAAAAGAGAACATGACAGGAGAGACGAGGACATTCTATCCTTCACATCCACAACCATTTCATTGTGCACTAGCTGCCTCTAATAATAATAATAATAATAATAGTTTTAAGTTAGGAATGTTAAACGGGACGAGCAAGTCGTCGATGCGAGTTGAATAACAAATTTTAATTTTTTTTTGTGAGAACTGCCTTTCGGCTAATTATATTGAACTAAATTTTATTGCTATATTATAAAAATTACTCAGTATCCAAATGAAAGACGATTGATTATCTACCCGAAAAGATAGAGAGTCCCACATACGAGAAAATGTCTTTTAACATTGTTTAATAGAATCAATAACACTATAATCTACATAGGTGTATTGTATATAACTATAGACACGACTTAATGGTATTATGAAATAAGATTTTAATTATTTTTTCTTGCTTTAATAGTGTATGTTTTTCGAGTCAATAGAATATATACTATTAGATTAAATCTTATGTAAATAAGATTTTAATTTCTTTCATTCTTTAATACTATCTCATATTATTCAATCCACAACCAAATTAACATGCCGTGCTCATTATATACAGGTGGATAGAAGATACAACCATTATTGCGAGCAAATGCAAATGATAGTGAATTCTTTCGACATGGTGATGGGCTTCGGCTCAGCAGCGCCGTACACTAGTCTAGCACAAAAGGCCATGTCTCGACACTTTCGATGTCTAAAGGACGCGATTATTGCACAACTTAAGCACAGCTGTGAGGCTTTAGGAGAAAAAGATGCAAGCACGTTAGGGGTGACCAAAGGGGAGACCCCAAGACTCAGAATTCTTGAACGAAGTTTACGACAACAAAGGTCATTTAATCAAATGGGAATGTTTGAACAAGATACTTGGAGGCCCCAAAGAGGTTTGCCTGAAAAATCTATCAACATTTTGAGAGCTTGGCTATTCGAGCATTTTCTCCACCCGTAAGTTACTTATTCTGACAATAAAATAAATATTCTCTCTTAAATTTGCTAGACAAAATACATAATATAAGTACATACTGGAGATATTATTAGCTTCCGAGTTTCGTCACTACTCATTTATACACAGCAACGAAAACTGATTCTTGCATTTTTTTTCTTTTTCTTTTTTCTTATTTTTTTTTTCTAGTGAACATCGATTAAAGAATTGATGAAACAGTGTACCCTCTGATGTTGTCTCCTAGGTAGAAAAAGTTGAATAAGTATGTTTTTCATAGATCATTAGTTTTAGGGTATTATTAATACACATAATTTTCATAAATAAATACGATAAAACTTCTATAATCCAATATTTCTACCAACAGTAACAGAAACATAATCGAATTTCGAAAGGTTGAATATTTATTCATTTATGAAATGGTTTTTAGTTGAAATAAAATTATAATCCGACAATATGACACAACTTTACAGAATCCAACAGAATTTTTTGAAGAGCATGCAATTGACCATTTAACTTTCTGTATATCTGCCACTGCATTTTGCTGTCATCTTTTCCCCTCTTGGATTTTCTCGCTCAACTAGGAAATTTAAAATAATTAGATAAAGAAAATAAAGATTGTAAATAATCTACAATTATGCAGTTTTGTTGACATCATGTGACATGACACATTTTTGCCATTAAATTTAATAAAACTTAAATAGCTTAATCCAATAATCTAATCTAAGTATTCAATGCATGCATACTGTTCAGAAGAGGACACTGAATCGAATGTCCTTTTGCTTTCTCAGGTACCCAAGTGATGCAGACAAACATTTGTTGGCTCGACAGACTGGTCTATCAAGAAACCAGGTGAGTCTTTTTAATAAGAATTAAGCTACTCAAATAGGGAGTTTTGAGAGAGAAAGTTTAACAGTGATTCCTCTATTTTTTTTTAAAAAAAAAATTCCATCTTCCAATAAATGAACGACAAGTGTTGTCTGTCAACATTCCCGATCCAATTCCCTATTTGAGTAGCATGATCCTTTTAATAATCACCTTATCCCTTAGCAGATGCATGCCTAATACAATAGTAGATAAATTGAAATCTTGTTTATTATAGGTTGAATTCTCGTACAATACGATTAAATAATTTTCGTGATTTTGGTTTTATGGCGTCGCTCTAGGTATCAATTAATTGTTATTAATTAATCCCTGAATTCTCATAAAAGTTCACTCTAAATATGAGAGCTAGTTCTAGCGTTCCTCGACGTTACATTGGAGAATAAGATTAAAGGTCTTACTCTAACAAACTTAAATTTTACATGGAAGAACTATTAATTCAATCCACAAGAGATTGATGGACTAGCTAAGAGAATTTGGGAATCTTAGGCCAACTTTATACGATGTGTTCTATAGTAGTTATAAATGTCTTACTGTTGAAGAAAAGCCAAACTTTTTTAATTATTTCTTTCGTTTCGTCTCTAATATGGATATACAAAATCCTGTGAATAGTAAGTGCAGAGCAATGTACAGAAGATAGATTTTTCACTTTTAATTTCTCTCTCTTTCCCCTCCATCGGATTCACATTGAAAGCTACTAAACACATACAGTAAATGATCAGTACTTTAAGCGAAAACATGCTGTATATATTTTGTTATTTTTCATTGCATTTAATGGGGAAAAAAAGAACCCTATCTTGACACAAATGACGTATGTCGACAGTTTAAACTTTTAAATAAGATAGTAGATTGGGATACTTGTTGAGAATCACCATCAATCATCATACTTGATATTTTTTGCTAATTTTCATTCCATATGATGAAAAAAGAGCCTAGTAGAGCCGCGAATGGCGACTCGAAGACAAAAGGGGTGCACCTCGATACTTTTCAAGAATCACCATGTATCATCGTTGCTAGAACCCTAATCCAGGGCTATTCCAACATGAACGGTGACAACACATTTTTTAAAACATTACATATTGACGACTTCTCGTTCTTTATGTTCCGAAGTATAAAATTGTATTGTGCACAAGAAGTTCGGGACAACAAAAATCAACACATTCTTAGTTAGACTGGGATCAATTTGGTGGATGTATTAGATTAGGTTTTACTTTTCAGCAGTGAATTTCTGTTGAATGGAGACAGGAAAATAACATCATTAAATTCCTATGAATCATTTTAATCTATCTGTCAATGAAAGTGCATTAATTCTTGACTGCTATGATTTCACGAGTTTTGTTCTTAATTTCAGGTCTCAAACTGGTTCATTAATGCTAGGGTCCGGTTGTGGAAACCAATGGTAGAAGAAATGTACCAACAAGAGGCTAAAGAAGAGGCACAAGGGGACCAAACCACCAGTCCCGCCGCCGCCTCCGCCATGACAGAGGCGGCAGCCACAGCAGCACCACCCACATTTACTTCATCTAGCAAAAGATCAGAAATCTATGTGACTGAAAATGACCCTTCACTAATTGCAATAAATAGACAATGCAACTCACAAAACCAAGCAAAACATACCAACGTTCAATCCTCCACCACCGCTTCCGCCACCGTTTCCACCGTCCACGAATCCGACATGTGCCACCGAGGCAGAATTGTTGGCTTATCTGACTTTGAGACTAGCAACACCAATGCTGATATTGAATCTCCACTTACAAGGTTTGGAAAGACGACTGCTGGTGACGTGTCACTTACTCTAGGGCTACGTCATGCCGGAAATGTCCCGGAAAGTAGCCATTTTTCACTTAGGGACTTCGGGGGATGTTAAAAATATTATGTACTCTTTAAAATAAGAATAATCTTGTTACTTTCATGATTTTGTGTAGGTTTTTTTTTTTTTTAAGACAAATATTTAATGATAAAAAGGAGAAAGCATGTTAAGGAGATCAATTATGCTATGCCATAATCTAGACAGAAAAAGGAAAGAGGTAACGATGCCATGTGACATAGTGTAACGGAAGACGAGTGTACACGTTGGTTGTAACCCTATGCAACAAGTTTCTTATAATTGTATAGTCATGTGTTATGGATAGTTTATGTAGTGTAAGTTAACTTAATATTTGTGTTTCGCGTGAGTAGTCGCTAACAATTAAAAAGAAATTCAGACGATTGTGTAAGGGACAAACCTCTCGAGACAAAGTCCCAAAAGGAGGTGTTTTTTTTATGAGAGTTACAATTGGAACTAAACGGAATGCCTTTAAGGGGCGCAAGCACACGAGTACTGAAAAAATGCTAATTAAAGTTAATTTAAGAAATTAAAATTACATATTCTCTATTTGAGAGTATTTGATTCGGGGTCTTTCCTCTATGTCTATTCTTTCCTTTTATACTCCCATGACGACTTCTGCGTGACAAACTGCTTGGAAACTGTTACCCATTTTCTTCATGGTGCCTAATTTGTCGTGAAACTGCCATCTCTAACTGCTGCCA